GAATACACTTTATTTCTTTTTCTTGCTTGATTGCCCTGGCTAGAACTTCCAATACTATGTTGAATAAGAGTGGTGAGAGAGGGCATCTTTGTCTTGTGCCTGTTTTCAAAGAGAATGCTCTCAGTTTTTGTCCATTCAATATGATATTGGCTGTGGGTTTGTCATAAATAACTTTTATTATTTTGAGATACATTCCATCAGCCCCTAGTTTATTGAGAGTTTTTAGCATAAAGGCTGTTGAATTTTGTCAAAGGCCTTCTCTGCATCAATTGAGATAATCATGTGGTTTTTGTCTCTGGCTTTGTTTATGTGATGGATTATGTTTATGGACTTGCATATGTTGAACAAGCCTTGCATCCAGAATGAAGCTGGCTTGATCGTGATGGTTAAGCTTTTTGATGTGCCATTGGATTCTCTTTGCCAGTATTTTATTGAGGATTTTTGCATCAATGTTCATCGTGTATTTTGGCCTGAAATTTTCTTTTTTAAAAGTATTGTTTCTGCCAGGTTTTGGTATCAGGATGATGTTGATCTCATGAGTTAGGGAGGATTCTCTCTTTTTGTGTTATTTGGAATAATTTCATAAGGAATGGTACCAGCTCCTCTTTGTACCTCTGGTAGAGTTCTGCTGTGAACCCATCTGGTTCTGGACTTTTTTTTATTGGTAGGCTATTAATTGCTGCCTCAGTTTCAGGCCTTATTATTGGTGTATTCAGGTATTCAACTTCTTCCTTGTTTAGTCTTGGAAGGGTGCAAGTGTCCAGGAATTTGTCAATTTTGTCTAGATTTACTGATTTATTTACTTAGAGGTGTTTGTATTAATCTCTGATGGTAGTTTGTATTTCTGTGGGATCAGTGAGGGATCAGTATCATTTTTTATTGTGTCTATTTGATTCTTCTCTATTTTCTTCTTTATTAATCTGGCCAGCAGTCAATCTATTTTGTTGTTCTTTTCAAAAAACCAGCTCCTGGCTGTATTGATTTTTTGAAGGTTTTTTTCTGTGCGAGCATGTGTGTGTGTATGTGTGTGTGTGTGAGAAAGTATCTCCTTCAGTTCTGCTCTGATCTTAGTTATTTCTCGTCTTCTACAAACTTTTGAATTTGTTTGATCTTACTCTTCTAGTTCTTTTAATCATGACATTAGGGTGCTGATTTTAGATCTTTCCTCCTTTCTCTTGGGGGCATTTGTGCTATAAATTTCCCTCTAGACACTGCTTTAAATGTGTCCCAGAGATTCTGGTATGTTGTGTGTTCATTCTCATTGGTTTCAAAGAATGTTTTTATTTCCGCCTTCATTATTTATGTAGTACTTATTAATTAGCAGGTTGTTCAGTTTCCATGTAGTTTTGAGTGAGTTTCTTAATCCTGAGTTCTAATTTGATTGGTCTGTGGTCTGAGAGACTGTTTGTTATGATTTCCATTCTTTTGCATTTGCTGAGGAGTATTTTACTTCCAATTATGTGGTCAATTTTAGAATAAGTGCAATGTGCTGAGAAGAATGTATATTCTGTAGATTTGGGGTGGAGAGTTTCTGGAGATGTCTGTTAGGTCTGTTTGGTCCAGGTCTGAGTTCAAGCCCTGAATTTCCTTGTTAATTTTCTGCCTCATTGATCTGTCTAGGATTGACAGTAAGGTGTTAAAGTCTCCCACTATTATTGTGTGGGAGTCTAAGTCTCTTTGTAGATCATGAAGAATTTGCCTTATGTATCTGGGTGCTCCTATATGGGGTGCATATATATTTTGCATAGTTAGCTCTTCTTGCTGCATTCATCCCTTTTCCATTATTTAATGCCATTTTTGTCTCTTTACATCTTTGTTGGTTTAAAATCTGTTTAATCAGACACTAGGATTGCAACCCCCAGGGTTGAAATGAAGGAAAAAATGCTAAGGGCAGCCATAGAAATAGATCAGGTTACCTACAAAGGGAAGCCCATCAGACTCACAGCAGATCTCTTGGCAGAAACCCTACAAGCTAGAAGGGAGTTGGGGCCAATATTCAACATCCTTAAAGAAAAGAATTTTCAAGCCAGAAATTCTTATCTCATGTCTTTGCCCGTGAGATGGCTGCTCTCCTTAATACAGCATACTAATGGGTCTTGACTCTTTATCCAATTTGCCAGTTTGCGTCTTTTGATTGGGACATTTAGCCCATTTACATTTAAGGTTAATATTGTTAGGTGTGAATTTGATCTGCCAATTTTGATGCTAGCTGGTTGTTTTTCCCATTAGTTGATGCAGTTTCTTCACAATGTTAATGGTCTTTACAATTTGGTATGTTTTTGTAGTAGCTGATAATGGTTGTTCCTTTTCATGTAAGGCAGGCCTGGTGGTGATGAAATCTCTCAGCAGTTGCTTGTCGATAAAGGATTTTATTTCTCCTTCACTTACGAAGCTTAGTTTGGCTGGATATGAATTTCTGGGTTGAAAATTTTTTTCTTTAAAGATGTTGAATGTTGGCCCCCACTCTCTTCTGGCTTGTAGGGTTTCTGCCAAGAGATCTGTGAGTCTGATAGGCTTCCCTTTGTGGGTAACCCGACCTTTCTCTCTGGCTGCCCTTAGCATTTTTTACTTCATTTCAACCCTCATGAATCTGAAAATTGTGTGTCTTGGCATTGCTCTTCTCAAGGAATATCTTTGTGGTGGTCTCTGTATTTCCTGAATTTGAATGTTGGCCTGCCTTGCTAGGTGAGGGAAGTTCGCCTGGATAATATCCTCAAGAGTGATTTCCAACTTGGTTTCATTCTCCCCATCACTTTCAGATGCACCAATCAAATGTACATTTGGTTCTTTCACATAATCCCATATTTCTTGGAGACTTTGTTCATTTCTTTTCACTCTTTAATCTTGCCTTCTCATTTTATTTCATTGAGTTGATCTTCAGTCTGTGATATCCTTTCTTCTGCTTGATCAATTCAGCTATTGACCCTTGTGTATGCCTCATGGAGTTCTTGTGCTTTGTTTTTCAGCTCCATCAAGTAATTTATGTTCTTCTTTATGCTGGTTATTTTAGTTAGCATTTATCTAACATTTTTTCACAGTTCATAGCTTCCTTGCATTGGGTTAGAGCACGCTTCCTAAGATTGGAGAAGTTTGTTATTACCCACCTTCTGAAGTCTGCCTCTGTCACTTTGTCAAACTCCTTCTCCATCCAGTTTTCCCTTGCTGGTGAGGAGTTTTGATCCCTTTGGATTTTGGAGATTTCAGCCTTTTGGCGCTGGCTTCTTGCCATCTTCATGGATTTATCTGCCTTTGGTCATTGAAGTTGGTGACTTTTGGATGGGGTCTCTGAATGGACATCCTTTCTGTTGTATTGAAACTTTTCTTTCTGTTTGTTAGTTTTCTTTCTAACAATCAGGCCCCTCTGCTGCAGTTCTGCTGGAGTTTGCTGGCGGTCCGCTCCAGACCCTGCTTGCCTGGGAATCACCCACAGGGGCTCTGTTGGAAATGTGGAGATCATTTGCCCTCTGCATTGCTCTCACTGGGAACTGTGGACAGGAGCTGTTCCTATTTGGCCATCTTGGTGGAAATCATGGGGATACAGTTTTTCTTTCTGTACTATTCTTGTGATAGCGAATAAGTCTCATGAGATCTGAAAGTTTTATAAATGGAAGTTTCTCTGCACAAGCTCTCATTCTCACTTGCCTGTCACCTTGTAAGACAGGATTTTGCTCCTTCTTTGCCTTCCACCATGATTGTGAGGCCTCCCTAGCCATGTGGTACTGTGAATCAATTAAACGTGTTTCCTTTATTAGTTACTCAATCTCTGGTATGTCTTTGTCAGCAGCATGAAAACAGACTAAATACAGTTACGCTATAAAAACGTATTTCTGTGACATCCCAGGAGGTCATTCAGCTCTGTTGCTAAATAGGTTTAGTAAGAGAAAAGACTCGTTATCCTCCAAGTCAATCCACTCAGTAGTTGAAGGATTCTAAGATTTTTAAAAAATATTTCTTACATTGATACAAAATATACATTCTTACAACTCTACAACTAATTCTGATTTTTCCATCTAGAGTTGCATAAAATCTACATACCATATTTATATATTATTTTTCCAATATTTGATGGAATATAGGTTATAGCAGCTCTGATCTTTAGGAATGAGAATATTTTCAGGTTCTGAAGGGATAGCTTCTTTTTTAAAAGCAATAACAATAGCGTTTTTTTTTTATTTCAACTTTTCTTTTAGATTCACTGGTATATGTGTAGGTTTGTTACATAGGTACATTGCATAAAGCTGAAGTTTGGGGTACAATTGAACCTGTCACCCAGGTGGTCAGCATAGTACCCAATAGATAAGTTTTCAACCCTGCTCTCCTCCCTCCTTTTTCTCTTTTGTAGTCCCCAGTTTCTACTGTTCCCAGAAAGATGGTTTCTTGATAATTCATTAACATATCTAGGAAACAATAGCCAAATAAATAACATAAGATGAAGCATGAACAAGAATGTACTGAAGTTACTAAAATGGTTAATTAGTCCTTCATATTGCTTCATAAAAATGGAGGATGGAAGTCTTAGGCATAAGGCAGAGCAGATGCAAACTTAATAAGGTAGTGGCTGGCTGGTGTCTTGTAGGCAAAGGTCTTCATCCACTGAAAGAAGTTTGAGGGTTTCAGAGCTATTCTCCTTAAACCTGTAACAATATTTAATGCCAAAAATATCTTTGTACTGGCTTGATTTTTTTACATGGAGAAATGATTTCCATCATAAGACAGGGAAGAAACAGTCTCTGAGCTATTTGCAATATTGAGTATATCAAAAAGGGATCAGGTCATTGAAATCTCTGTTGAGCTTTAGGCTTTTCCTTGTAAAGTTAGAATGGGCGAAATGTTTAAAAAGTTTGTTTTGGCTTGGCACAGTGGCTCAGACCTGTAATCTCAGCACTTTGGGAGGCTGAGTGGTTGGGTCTTTTGAGTCCAGGAGTTCAAGGCCAGTCTTGGCAACATGGCAAAGCTTCACCTCTATGGAAAAAATATCAAAAGAAAAAATTAGCTGTGTACCTGTAGTCTCAGCTACTTGGGAGGCTGAGGTGAGAAAATTGCTTGAGTCTGGGAGGCAGAAGTTGCAGTGAGCCAAGATCACGCCACTGCACTCCCACCTGGGTAACAGACCCTGTCTAAAAAAAAAAAAAATTTTTTTAAAGTTTTATGCACATGGTTCTAGTCCACTTTTATACTTTCTACCCAAAAATTGTTCAGTTCATTTTAACTTATATTTATTGAGTTCTAAATGTGTACCAGGCCATGTGTGCCTGTGGATAATCAATACAGATTCAGTTCCTATCTGCAGGGAGCTCACAACATGGTGAGGAAAACAGACATGTAAGTGGGAAATACGCAAGTTAGAAGCACATCTGTGGATGGGAGTAAACATGATTTGTTGTTTATCTGAAATTCAAATTTAACTGAACATGTGTTTTATCTGGTAAACCTAGGTGAACCATTGTCACTACAGTTATTCCCAGTGGAGAGTATGACTTGTGGCAGAATCGTCCCCTAATAACTTCAGAACTAAATAAAGTAACCCAACAACAGAACAACTGCAGGCAAGCCTCCCCACTACAAATTCAAACCTGTTCATGGAGAAACAAAAGTACAAACCCAAGTAAATGCTGCTACCCCAAAATAAACCTTAGATACAAGGATAAGAAAAACTAAGTAACAGGATGGAGGTAGATAGAGTTTAGCTATACTAATTTCAGACCAATAAGCTCTAAGGCAGTAAGCGTTTCTAGGTACATATCTAATAGCAGTGGATGTGTATTTTTTATTAAAAGTTATGTACAACATTAGTCATAAAGCTTTCTTCATAATCAAAGCAGAAAATCCAATGCATAAAAGGAGAAAAACAAATTGTAATACATTAATACAAAGAAATACTGTACAAAACTGAGAAAACATTTTGCTATGTACAAGTACTTGGATAAATCTCACAAACAAAATATTGGATAGAAGAAGTCAGAAATTAGTACAAATTGTATAATTCCATTTATATAAAATTTGAAAATAAGATAAAAATACCTATCGTGAGGAAAATCAAAATAGTGATTACTTTAAGGAGGAGCGGGTGATTATGGTGGAACAAAAGCAGGGATGCCAGGGTGCTGATCATGTTGTATTTTTGATCTGTGAAATCGTTACATTGATAAGTTTCTCTGCAAAAAGTCCTCAAGCAATGTACTAATAATTTTTATACTTCTAAATATATTTTTTACTTCAATTAAAAAGTTACATAAAATAAAGAAGGAAGAGATTCTTACGCAGAGACACCTAAGCAGGACTTTGGAAGCTGTGTAGGAGCAAGAATGTGAAAGAGTTGGCATATGGAATGCATGAAGTATGAAACGGAATGGGGTATTTGTAGAGCTGCATGCACCTTAATGCAATTTGCCTTTTCTGTGGTAAGGAGAAGTGAAAGGATAGGAAGTTGGAAATAAAGGTAATGACAACTCAACGTGGGCTTGAAGGTCATGTGTTTCAAGTGCCTTTAATGACTCAACTCATTCTCTTAGCCGCAAGTTGCTTTTCAAACATAGCTGGCTTCCATACTAACTTCAACTTCCTTTCTATAGATGGTATCTTACCTCAATCAGTACTGCAGTTTTTGTTTGTTTGTTTTTTACCTTTTCACCCTGGAAAGGCTCTAATGCCACAGAAACTCAAATGCTCTTTCCTCAAGCCTACACACACAGCCCAGAAGTACAGGCAGCCCTAACCTATAGGATATGGGAACACATAAATACTTCCAGTCGGTCCTCATGGGAACAATTTTTGAGAAGGGAACATATTATGCTCAGAAGTTGACAGGACAAGTAAGAGCTTTGTTAACCTTCAGTGGTGAGCTTGATAACCTACTCTTATGATGGATTTCCCTACTTCCTCCCTCTCCCAAGTTCGTTACTCCTGCCCCAGGATATTGCTTTCTTAATGACCTACAGCACCCAAGTCTTGGTCTCAAGCTCTGCTCTAAGAGAACACAAACTAAGCCTTGTGGATTCTATCTTACAAGGTAGCAGAAACTCTAGTCAAGGGGGGCTACATAGAGACAGGCAGGATAATGAACAACAATGCAGGCAGGGGACTCCTTGGGAGATTATTTGGGAGAAACAGAGAAATCACCCCTGCTTCTCTGAAGCAATAAAAAAATAGGACAAAGGAACCATGCATATGGAGGATGAAGCAGGAATTTTATTTCTGACAAAGGTCATATAGGAGAATGTGACTCATATATTTAGGTAGATGGGTTTCCTGTTAATCAGCCTAAATCAGACAGACAATAGCGTTAGGGCGGTAAGACTTCCCCACTGCAAACAGAGTCCGCCCCTAGAGAGGCAGAGTAGAATGCCTACATACAGCCTGGGGGGAAAAAAGAGATTATTCTAGTAATCAAGAGAATACAGGAAAGCTCTGTTGAAAAGTAGCATTTGAGCTGAGGCTTGGTGAGTGAGTAGTTTTGACAGGTGAAGACAGAAGGTTACATGCAAGATAGTGCTTTCTAAGTGATTAAAGGCTAAACTAACAATATTACTATACTGACGATTATAGAAAATAGATTAATGGAGGATGCTGCTAGGATTTGGAGTGTTTATTCATTTCTTCTTAGTTAAATGGAATTCAGTCTTATCAACTAGTGGGTGGAATTTTGAGCTAAAATAACAATATATAAGAACTACAGTCCTCCACATTCCTTTCCCACAGTCAAATTCATATTCATTAAATCTTTCTCCCTTATTGCTAAGCAGAGGATGTAAGAATATATTAAAAATCATAAATATCAGCACAGTAGGATTTGCAAGTCAACGTGTCCTGTTATGAATGCAGTAGCTAAGTTCTAACCTTCTGAATTCTTGTCCACATTCTGTGCAGGTCATCAATACTTCCTCCAGGATAAATTATCAGTATCAGAAAAGGCAGTACATGCTTGTAAAGCATTGTCATTTCTTCTTTACCCCCTGCTCTTATTTATTATCTCCACATTTACTGATACCTACACATACATGATGGTACATGCATAAGTGAAGGCATGTATTCACCCCCATGCACATACATGCACAATCACAAACTGGGAAATACAGACACAGCTAAAAGGCAAAGGTAAGGATTTAGAATACCTTTCTACTACCTAAATATAAATGATTTCATTTTTAAGGGAGAATGTGGGTCAACATATGCTTAAAAGAGTCTTTTACATTGTTTTGTATTGCTTGGTTTAGCATGCTTAGTCAAAGGAAATTTCAGAGCTGACCTAAGATCCTGGCATCTTGTGAATACTTTCTCTTCAGTCTGTCATGAGTCAAGACCAATAGGCTATTGGATTGTGTCAAGGCTTTATTAATCTCTTCTCTCCTGCTGCTGTGAGCCTTTTGACCATTTTTCTGGTAATTAGCCCTGAGAGCAGGTAGAGAGAAGCTGTTGATCTCTTTTTATTCAATTTCATGGTTCTGGTTTAAAAGGAGGGAAAAATAAATATGGAAAAAGTGAGGTTTAGTGCTGCTTTAAAATATTACAGGTTTTCTTAATCTTGATTCGCTGAAATTCAGGCTTAAAATATTAAAATACTAATAATGCAGCATTCTTAGTAACCAATATTTTGATTCAATTCATTTTCACAATTCAATTGATGACCTACTGAGAGCCAGGCCCTGGGTTATGTGTTAGAGACAGATGAGTGAACAAGACTTGCCTCCTTCCCGCTCTCCTGAAGTTCGTGGGCAAAACTGAAATACAGACAGCAAACCAGGAATTACAGATGTGATGAATGACGGGAGGATAAGCGCAGGGTGCTGTGGGAATGCAGAACAAGGAGACTGAATCCAGTCCATGTGTAGCTTATAAGAGAATTGTGTAAAGGGGAGACTTGACAAACAAGCAGCAGCTAGCCAAGTAAAGAGAGTTTAAGTATTTGGGGCAGAGGTCATGCAGTCAATCAAGTTAAATTACCTGATAAGAAACACTTGTTTTGAATAGCCTTGGTATTATTTTCAGGCAAGTCGTTAAAGAGAATAGAGAAAACACCTGCTGAGCATCTAGACCATCACTATGTGTCCAGAAGCCCTCTTTTGAGTGACACAAGCATGGGGACACATACAGATGGTCTCAAAGACCTTCACAGAACAGTGGGACTTTGGTATTTCCTCCCAGCTTTCCCGTATCCTCCTAATTCTCAGGTGAAAAGAAATATGGTGAGAATACAAGACTGACTTAGAGTAATGGCTAAGAATCTGCATTGCAAAATAAGAAACAGATCTTGCTGCACAATCTATAAGAAGATACTTTATAGCTCAGTATATTGTTTAATAACCTCCTCCCAGCTCACTATTAAACAGCCAAGATGCCAGGTTGCTTCAATTAAAGTTAACCTCTGTCCTTGAGAGAACTGTAGAAAGAGGGTGCTTTAAGGACCCTTGGGAATATCACCATGTTATATGAATAGTAAAAATCAAGTTCGACATTTATGTGGCATTTTCCCAAAATTAGAATGCCAAGATGGAAACTCAGGTTTTTTGACTCTCAGTATGTGACACATTGATGAGTGACACTCCTTCCATTGAAGCTTCTAGCAATTTTATAACCAGCTTATAGAAGATACCAAGCACATATATAATTTCAGATGCGGGTTTCAAATTATTGATTGAAATGAGAGATAGGCTGGGCACAATGGCTTGTGCCTCTAATCCCAGCACTTTGGGAGGCCGAGGTGGGCAGATCATGAGGTCAGGAGATCAAAACCATCCTGGCCAACATGGTAAAACCCCATCTCTACTAAATATTCAGAAATTAGATGTGTGTAGTGGTGGGTGCCTGTAGTCTTAGCTACTTGGGAGGCTGAGGCAGGAGAACTGCTGGAACTTGGGAGGTGGAGGTTGCAGTGAGCCAAGACCATGCCACCATACTCCAGCCTGGGTGACAGAGTGAGACTACATCTCCAAAAA